CACTGAAATATCATGGTGATCAAGGCAGGTTCCTGATGGCTGGAAAAAAGGAAATGTCACACCCACCTTCAAGCAGGGCAAGAAGAGGATTTAAGTAGCTACAAGTCTTACCTCTGTCCCCAGAAAAGTTACAGAGTAAATCTCCTAGAAGCTGTTGCCAGCCACATGATGAACGAGGAGGCTGCTAATATCCCATATGGATTTACCAAAGGTGACTCTGGTGCTGTGGACAAGGAAGGGGAAGATGGCAAATGCACACTCTGACTTTAGGGTGGCCTTTGACTTGGTCTCCTCTTGTGCCCTTGAAATAAAACTGGGGAGATATGCAGTGTATAAGCAGATTCAAGGGAATCTGTCTGCACTGCTGGACTCAAAGGGTTCTGACCAGCAGCACAAACTTGAAGTGGCAGCCAGTTACTAGGAGCTTCCATCAGGGTCCATACTGGGATGAACACAATCCATAGTTTTTATTAAACAACATGGATGATGTGACAGAGGGCACTCTCAGCAAGCTAGTGAATGTCATCAAATTGGAGGGAGAAGTCAATACTTTGGTGAGCAGGACAGCATTCAGATATTATTTGGTGAGCTGGAGAAATGGGATGACAGGAACCTTAGGGAGTTCAACAGAAGCAACTGCAGAGTCTTCCACCTGGGCTGGAATGACCTCATGCAACGGCATAGACTGGTTAGAAAACAGATTTGCAGGAAAGGAGTTGGAGAATCCTTTGAATGTTAATCAGCAGCTTACCCTTGCAGGAAAGGACAACCACACAGAGGGCAGCACCGTGTGTTATCATCAGGCCAAGAGAAGTGATTGCTCAGCACCTCTGAGCCTGAACCCGAATCACTGTGTCCACTTTTGGGCTCCATGCTTCAAGAAAGGTATTAATATACTGGAGCAAGTCCACATGGGGACAATGACAGTCTGGTACTGTACCAGGCTGCCTGGAGCTAGAATCTCCATCCTCAGAGATAGAGCCCGAACAGACAGCCCAAAATAAGCTGTTCTTGTTGGACATGTTTTGAACTAGATGACTGCCAGAGGTCCTGTCAAACCTAAGCTACTCTATTATTCTGTGAATAATCCAGCCTTGTTCCTGAAGCTCATAATCACTGGAGGAACTTCTGTTCCTGTATTTCACTAGACAGGTACAAACATCCATCCATGTACTGTAATTAAAAGGACTGGTTCTTAACTCCTTTAGTTCTTCTTCTTGGTAGCATATATCAGATTCAACATCTACAAGTGGAATACCCTGAAGGACTACTTCAGTTCTCTCTTTTCCTTCACTTCTCTCTTTTTCTCTTTCCTTTTCCCCTAATCTCTTTCGATCCTCTCTCCTCTACTTCCTCTCCTTTTGCAGAGACCTTCATCCCAGCCCTTTGTTCTTTATACTATGAGAGAATCAGGAACATCCCTTTCAGTGCCATGATGAACTTCTACTAGAAACTTGAGATGTCTGTGTGCAAAGAAGGGCCACAGACACAAATACATGCTGACTCTAAACTAAGTTTATACTCACATCATGTTTAGGAAGTTAATTTCAGTCATGTGGGTTGAAAATAAAATTTTTTAACCAAACAGAAAACTCTAAAATCTGAAAGACTGATTTCTAGAGTTTGAACACTCCAAACAGATACCCCGTCACAAAGGTGTCCTGTAGTAGCAGGCTCTGTGACCATTGTATCCTCATTTTGAAGACCATGGTAAATGTCAATATTTGCAGTGAAACAGAAACACAGCAAACCAGATGGGAACATTCTACATCATACAAAGTGATCAGATTGGTTTTGCACAGAAAAAAACCCACGACATGTAGAAACAATATCCTTGAAAAAAATAAACTCGGAGATGTAAAAATTACTGGTAGAGAAGAAAAAAATCAGCGGCAAGTACTTCTCATAAGAGAAACATTTAAAGTCTAAAAGGATGACTAGTAGATGCAGATTAAAATAAAATATTTAACATTAGTAAATATATGCACAAAGTAGAGAAAAAAATAGTTCTAAAAAGCAAGAACGGAGGGTCAGAAAGGTAAATGCTACTTCTGCAAAAAGTACTGGCTGTTGTCAATGGAAGTTCTGTGGGATTAAATTTGCAGAAATAACATGCTATTTTATTCTAAATGACTCACTACACTTACTAACTGTGGTGCTGTGTTTTTCTTCATTCAAGTTCTTCAAAAAAAAGCATTAAACTGACAAAATCATGACCACATATTTTGGGGGGACTAAAAATATCACTTATAAAAACAGCTGCAGATAATATGGACAGGTAAACAGTGCACTTGCGATTCAAGTTACTAAATTACTTCAGTGATCTGTGTTCCTACAGTCTGTCCAGACGCTGCCATATTACACTTAAGGTGCCAGCCTTTATTCTGAACATGTTAAATATTCTCAATAACATTCTTTAAAATTAAGTAACTCTGTGGAACGTGTGGAACCATCCTTTATAGTTGGGTTCCTCTACCTGCTGGAGTCCAGGACTCAAAGGAACCATCTATTGCACCCAACTCTTTCACTACACATGAGCAGCACACCCCATTGCCTGAGGCCTCTCCATACAAGTAAAGCATTAGGCTGTGTTACTCAGTACCCATCTAACAGCCAACATTTCACATGAAAGCAAGAAGAAAGCAAAAAAAAAAAAAATAAAGAACTTGAAGTTGTGCATCTGGAGGGGAAAAGAAAAGATCCTCCTGTCCGTGAATCTCTCTGGAGAATCACAGCAACTTTGAGTTCATTAAAATATGAGGCCAAGCAAGCAAGCAACCAACCAACACTTTACAATCCCCTCAAGAAAGAAGTCAGACATCTATCCTAAAAAAACCTTTAGTTTTTAATGCCAAGACTATCCAACAATATATTCCATAAACTGCTCAGTTCCGTGATACTTGCCTTGCATGCCAGAAGCAAAACAGTAAGTGTTTGCACATATATGGTAAAACCAAATATATATCACACTTCCTAAGACACCACATGTCCTCATTTAAATGTTCAAATCATGGGACAGTCAAACAGATATTGGAGAAACAGCAGCTGCATAAGAACAGAAAACAAACAGCTAGGAGTGGAAGAAAGCAACCTGTACCATTTAGCTCAAGCAACTAACATCTCAACATGCTAGCCTGGATTGGTATCTAATACACCAGTATGACTCAAAGGGTACAATCTACTAATACACCAGTATGACTCAAAGGGTACAATCTACTACTGTATCTTAATCAAAGGAAGGAGATATTTTATCAGATCAGAGCAGGAAACATTGGTATTATTTTACAATGGTAACACTATTTTGAAATAGACATTTCCTTTAATAAGAAGCTGTGGTACTAATGTCAGCCCTTGAGCTAAGACTACATGACTGTGTATCTTGAAATTTCCCACTTCTATAGCGTATTTTTGGTGCTGGACAGGGAACCACACTGTGGTATTATTTTGCGTACATATGAAGCAAGTTCCCTGTGCAATTTCCCTTTAAACAGTCCTTAATGTTCATTACTTCATTTAAAGAGATTCTAATCTGTGACGAAACTGAATAATCAAAAAATTATTCAAAAACAAGAAAGGAAAACATCCATAATAAGACTGGTAAACTCTCCCACAGACTTTTTGAATCTGGTGTTAAAAGATGAATGTTCTATAAAGACTGAGGAGCTGAAAGCCCTACACTGAGCCCTTCAGCTCCCTGGCATCTAAGGGGAATCAAGCCATGTGTGCACTGGGAGTTCAACACCAGAAAAATCAGCGTATAGTGCCAACCAAATGCTCCAAGTAGGCACAGAAGTAGCTCTCAAGGCTCTATGTTCTGCTACAGCAAAAACATTTCCCATAAGACAAAGTGCATTTAGTAAAGTTTAACTTTGTCCTTAGATCTGCATTTACTGCAGGCTTTCTGATGAGATGGACACGTTAGTTGAGATCATCTCTCTGCACACCTCCATCACTACAACGTCAGCCAAGGCTTGTGCTGTGAACACAGCCCTAACATTTCCAAAGAGGCAACTCACTCTCTGCATGTGTTGGACCTGCCAAAAATAGCCTCATCATGCCTACTTGTTGGTTCTTTAAAAATCAGGCTACTAAATGAGGTCATTTTAAAGATAAATAGTCCTTTGTAGTCATGAACGATCAGTATCAGTTTTAGGGGAAAATCCCAGGTAACTCTCAACCACTGTCTCTAACAGCAAAGGACAGGATTTCCCATCTATCTCTGATCTCCAAAAACCTCTTAACAAACACACAAATTAATTCTTAGATCAATGTTCTTCACCCAGAAACATGGTTATTTCAGGTAACAATGGGTTACCTCACAATTTGACATCCCATTCCTTTCCTACTCCCTAGCCACTCTTTCTTATCAACATTATTTTAGGGAAATCAAATTTGTGTTTAAGAAGTTTTTTATCTTTCATGTATTTACCTTATGTGTATTATTATTATTATTATTACTATTCCTGCTTAAAATGCAATAAACAGCTTACAAAGGCACATATTCTCATTAACCTCTCAAACCACCAGAGTTCTTCAACTCCCTCATATATTTTCAAAGGGCATTTCTGTAAATCCTCATCATTATGATACCAAAACAGTGCTGGGAATGTACATGGGCGTTCGAGATGTCTGCTTTAACGCACCATTTCAGTATGTCTCAGTTTTGAGGTTTCCTTGTGCTGTGTCATATCTGATCGGTAAAGAAGCAGTTTTAAAGCATGTACTGATCAAACTACAGTTTAAATTATTTTATTTTTAAATGCAGAAGCATATAAACAAAGTTTTCCACACATCACAGGTATTTAAGTTGGTCAGCAATTAAACAATCAACTTAAGTAAACCTCTAGGTAAAGTCCCTTCTATGAAAGTCAGTAATGCGTAACTTCAGGGGGGAGGCGGAAGTGTTGTTTCTAATTACTCTCTTTGAACAGACTAATTGTAAAAGGATCAAAAATAGATGCTTTCACATCCCATAAAAAAGTCGACAGCAAATCAAGACCAGTACACAAACAGGGGTTTTTTTTTTAAGCACTTGAAAAAAAACTACCCCTCCCACAAGAGAGACTCACGTAATCACTCTTGAGAACAATGTGCAAGGGTAAACTTTCGCAGTCAAGCCATCCTGTCAATGCCCTTAACTCCTCAGAAGATCCAAGAAGCTACAGAGATGTAAGTACAGAAAAGAATTAACTTTTTTCAATTTATTTTTTTTTCACTGAGCAACAGCAAACAATTCCAGAAATATTATTTGTTTTTTTGCATTATACTGGTAGGAGGGATAAATGATCTTTGTATGGGAAAGGCTCATGGTAGAATTTCTGATATTTTATGTTCCCATATTAATCTGCTGCCAGTTAATTTCCATTTAAAATAGCTGTTGATCTACAGCATCAACAAGTTATTTCAAGTCCTTTCTTAGAATACAGCCTTCTGACAATCACAGGGAAACATTTGATACTGCATTAACTTAGACAATTTTTTTGGCAACGCTAATTTAAATTATACTAATACAGAAATAACTACTGTACAAGTAGTAAGGAAAGCATTGCAACTCCTAAGTCATTCACTGAACCTCACGGAACTCTCCTAATAGTAAGAGAGAGCCTTAAAACAAATCAGTACTATAGTTCTGAATGCACAGCCTGCTCTTATCACATGTGCTCCTTCTGTAAAAAAACAGCCTTTATTACCAGCTCAGAAACTCCTCAGTCACTCTTCTCATGTCCAAGTATTGCAACAGTATATTTTAAGAATTCAAAGTTTTATGATCTAATTCCTCTTTTAACTTCTGGCATGCATTTCTTTCGAAGTTTTTAAAAAGGTATTCTTTTCCTGAATTGCAATCACCAAACATCTATCTCCTTATTAGTGATTTTCGTGCCACAAAGCTGAAGAAATATTAAAAGTTATAAGATTTTTATTCACCTTCCCAATTAAAGAGGATCAATTTTTTCTACTATGCTGGCAAAACAAGACACGCTGTTCAACAGCCAATAATTCAACTATCATTTATCTTAAAAAATAAGACAGTGTATGTGCATTTGGGCACAGAATACAAGACATCTGTCTAACATTTTCATGACTGTTCCTGAAGAGACAAGGGAATTGAATCCTCTCAGTTACTCTATAAGAGCTCAAATCTCACCCCTTTCTGTTCAAAAGATTGAGAAGCATGTATACATGTAAAGAATAATAAATTTAAGCTACAGTTCAGAAGCTGTAATCCCTAGAATTAAAGACTGTACCTGTACAGGCTGCATATCACTCAGATATAAAAGGTGTTCATATTTTCTAGTACTAAAATACAAATTCTCATTTGACCCCTTTTTTCTTCTGCTTGCAAGAATATAATTGTCAGTGGCTCACACTTCAGTTTATTTGCTATATTTTTAGGTTCTCTCCTTTTTACATTTAGTCTGCTTAAGTAAGTATAAACTGAAGAGAAGTTAATCATTTTAGCATCAGCACAGCTCTTCACATTAACATGTGGCAGAGATTATTTATGTTAGATAATTCTAACACTTCTCATAGGACAGATTACACCCAAGAGAGATCCAACAGATAGGAGCAAGATGTACACTTCAAATGACTTCCACTGTAACTAGTTATGCAGCATTTCAACTCAACTTCTTTATTTCCATCTCACTTACTGTAGTTTCTATTATTTTTGAGCACCAAATGTAACTGTCATACAACTTGCAAAATCTATTATAACAGACAAAAGCAGGACCAGAAAGATCCCACAGTGTTGTGCATCTGCTTATTTTATTAAGCACTTAAAGAATATTATAATTCTTCATAGCCATTGTTAAGATAATTGGGATTCTCTGATATGTGGCTTACAAATTTGGCTTTACTATGCCAACAAATTTGGGTCTAACCAAAGAAGAATAAAAGTACTAGCCTGGAAACTCTCTCATCAAAATTATCTTTGGGTTGTGAGTCGAGGACTCAGTCTTCAGGTCATTAGGCCTACTCATTTGCATTTAGAGCTTTTGAAAACTCAACAGCTTTTGAAAAAAGGTAAATTAACATAATGTACTAGAAGCATATGAGTGTTAAAGCGTTAGAAAGAAACAGGAAGGCTGCCTCTTGCCTCGGCTTTTATTAAACCACATGCAGTTCCCAAGCTGCCAGTCCATACACCCTGATGTACGTACCTTAGGTGTTCTTTCTATGTTAACAAAGCATTCTACTGTGCAACTTAGCATGCACACCTTTTAACACACACAACTTAGTTGAATCAAGCCTTTTTCTCAAACATCGAAACCACTCTACAATAAAAGATCACTTGTATGGTAAATTAGAAACCCAAACAGTAAACATGACTGGTCAACAGAAAACAATTAATTTTGACATTAAGGAAAAAATTAAACCTACATAACCACAAGACTGTATATTTGCCACCTTCTACTGTTTTAAAACTCTGTAAGACTTATACAGCTAATAGCTCTAGAGGACTGTAAGCTCAGTAAATCTTCAAACCAGGCATTTAAGGGGAAGAGAAATCTCTTTCCCGACCATTCCTTTTAAATAATTTATACTCTTTATGCATAGATAAACAACATTATACCTCCAATATTATTTGTTAAAGAAATATTGTCCATCCCATAGTGACTAAACCATACTATGTACAGAGCCATGAGAGATCTTCCTAATGAACTGTCATGCCTTTCCAAGAATTTAATTAGTATCCCTCTTAAATTAGCTACTGGACAGATGGACCAGGGATTCATCTCCAATGAATGAAAACTATGAAAAGAGACAGAGAAATCATGCATTAGACTACAATGCACAGTAAAAGCCTTCTACATGTTCCCTGTTCTGCTAAAAGACAGACAGTGCTCCTCCAGCAAAAGCAGGAGATGAGAACATCTTTCTTTTAGCACACAGAGAGAGCTTTGTACCACAGGTTGAACACAAATCAAACCCATGTAATCTAAGGTTGTAACAATCCAATTGTTGGCTCATAGCTTAAGTCTATCCTTCATAACAGTTAAATGTACATAACATTATGACACTACATATAAAGCTCATCAAACATAAACATGTCTATGATCCAGGGCTTTGGATTATGTAGCACTTCCAGATTGGAACCACCATTCTGTTTATCAAACACCTTTTGCTGTGAGGATTAAAGGTAAAACACAGTATAAACATTAAACAAATGACTAATGCCAGTCAAATGTTTTCACAGAACACCAATCTCCTAAAACAGCCTTTTTTTCTTCTTTGATGAGATTACAAAATTGCTTTAGAAAGGCACCTGCACAGGGTTCAGACATGCTAGACTTGGTAAGTAGCTTGCCATGGTACCATGATTTTTTTCCCCAGGTGGATACTATTGCTGAGACACATCAAGGAAGCACATAGAATAGACTAGCAGCTGCCTAGCTAACAAATCTCATAAGGTAATTGGCTAAAGAAATTTGGTGGTCAGAAAGTAAACGCAATGCTAAGACTTGAAAATGGCAAATGAAACAAGAATAAAGAACAATCTGCACTGTTTGAAGCCTGGGTATATTATTAAAATTAATTTTAAACTCTTCCAGGCATAAGTTCTTTCTGGGTAGAAGCAGAGAGCAATGACCATGCCCTTAGACTAGAGATATCCTAGGACACAGTGACTCCTGGATCACAGAGAACTAACTTCACAAGCTCCCAGTGCAATGCTACACAACTCTATCTTGGATACATAAATAACTAAGCAGAAAAAGCAGAGACATACTGGTGAGGATGCTTCCAGGTACACCAACACCAAGAGGCATCTGGAACCCCTTGTCCTGTGTGGGACAAAGCTGGGGTTAGAATGGACATCACAGGATTATTTTGCCTTGTGGTGAAATATTTGAGAAGTTCACCTTGAATTGCCCAAACCATGAGATTGTGTAAAGGTAAAAAGAGTCAATGAAAACAGCAATTGCAAATTAATTTTAGAGAAATTTAAGGAAGAGACACATACGGTTTTAAACAGGGAGGTTGACTGACAAAGGACTAGAGTAACGAATGGCTAATTCACTTTTTTTAAGTTCTCCAAATCAAGACCAAACAGCATTTTAGAAAATGTGCTTTAAGTGAAAAGTTACTGTAATCCATACACAAATAACTAAAATAATAACATAACCTAGATTATACAGAAGGTCACGTTAAGGAAAAAAGTTGTCTGTGTCACTGAGTGTCCACAGACTCAGAAAACGTAAAAACCTAAACAACCTTCTTTACAATACTGTATAAAGATAAGAATTTTAAGTACTTTATACCTTAAAATTTTGCATGCAACTCTAAGTCAAAAAAACCTGTGGTACTGTTTTCTAAAATCATTAATTTGGTAAGGTAAATTAATATTAAGTTTTTTCCAAGTATATACTTCAAAGTAGTATCATTAATAAACACAGAAAGCCACTGGAGGAGTATTTAATCCAGCAACCTAGAAGAGCAAAAATTTTGGTAATGATTCTAGAGGGTAGCTTCAATGGTGCATTTGGATCTGGGACAGTAAATGGCCATGTTCTCATAACATACTCAGGTACACAGCTCATTAAAATCAGTAAGAATTAAGTCCAGCTAGTCTGAGGTTTGCAGCAGTAAGGAGGCAACAATCTCCATTTTTTCTACAAGAATGCAAAATGCACAAAAAGTATTTAAAATGTTCTCTTTTTAGATACATTCTGTGGAGGATGTCATATGTTGTATGTATAACAAGCTGACAACTAAGGAGTGCTACCAAGAAATAAAGAGCAACCTGACACAAGGAATAGGATTTAAAAAAAAAATATCTTATCTTACTTAATAGTCTAGACATCTTTTAGGAAGAAAGTATTTTTTTAAATGGAGCCCTGTTCAAGATTGACAAGAAAAGGTGAAATATCTGGTGATGTGAATGGAGTTCATCCAACAACAATAAGAGTTCAGAAGTACAAAGAAGTTACCACTACTCAGGTGATGGACATTAAGGTGTTAGATGATAGCAACTTTATATCACAAACCAGATACACTATCTCTCTGTATTTTCATTTTTTTTAAAGAAATATATTCAGGTAATAATTCAGCACCTAGACACCATGGTGACTGCTCAAAAAAGCCCATACATACCTACAGGTAGAGAAAATACTAATACTCAACTAGAGCATTTCAAAACGTGCTCCCTACATTAAAAGTCAAAACATTTTGGGGATAACGGGATCAAAAAGAACACTTTCTGCACCCAGGGCTAACTCCTATAGCAGGCAGAAGGGCCTGTCAAGGCTGACATGCATGCTGCCTTGCTGACATGCATGCTGCCTTGGTCCTCCATCTTTCTTCTCATCTGCTTGTGGCCAGTTTGTCCTGTCACGGAACTGCTTCTCGTGTATATCCATGCTAGCACCTTGGATAGACACAAACACTCTCTCAGCTAGGACTCCTTCTCAACAGAGCCACAGTTATATGTGAGAATGAACATCCTATTTTGAGCAGCAAGTTATAGACTAATTTATTACATTAAAGATGTAACTTCATAGCACAAAATTAGGTGATATCATTTTATGAAATCCTGCTCGATGCAAAAAAAAAAATATGACTGAAATGACAGATTTTTTCCTAAACTATAGTTAAATGGTTTTGTATAATAGATATTCTATAATTTTACAAATGTTTATAGAAAGACATATGGATGGATGTGACCATTATGCACACTATTTATGAACCAAAACTATTACAACTTTACAGTGAAAATAAAATTATGCAGTTAATATGCTGTAGTTAATTACTGCAATCAAACTGTTTATCATAAATCTTATTCTTCCTTACATATGTTGAAGAAATTGTTTTACCTAAATTTCAAGAAAGAGATGAGTAGAAGATAGATGTGATGCTGTGAGTGTGAACAAGTAATCAGAAGCATTTAAATATTACAAACAAAACAAAATACTTCACTGATCCATCCAGGTGCCTACACAAACCCACACCAATTTAGGCCAAGAGGAGCCTGTTACACTTAGGTAAAACAAGAGCCATTTGACACACTTCTACAAGGGAAAAGATGAACAGGAGGAAAGCATATCAGAACCATCCTGAGGGTAATAACTACTACATTAATCAATCATCAAACACCAAAATACTGTGAACAACGCAGAATTAACCAACATAAAATTACAGACATTCTTAAACCTTCACTACAGCTGGAGTTGCTATTTACCAGTTTAATTCCCTTATTCAAACCACAAAACTCCCACTTCAGATTTGACATCCAACCCTGAATTCCCACCTCTCAACAGACAGTGCATACTTCATAGTTCAGGGATATCTAAGAATCAGAATAATGTACATCTATCAGTCAGTAATCACTCACCTGTCTTCCCTCCTATCTGTGGAACACAGTAGACACAGACTTAATATACTACCTGGATGTTAAACTCCTTCCTTAAATGGGTAATTTAACTCATTTATGTATTTTAATACACATCATCCACTATCCACAGGTTTACTGTTTACAGAGAACCTTATGCACCCCTGCTAACCCTGCCAGAAGTCTGATCAGACATGTTTATGATACAGTATGTGATGCAGGTACATTAATTGTGAACAATTAATCTAGGGTAATCTCCTCAAAACATGAAAGAAGATACTAATCTTTTAATGTTTTGACAAGTAAATAAAAGGATAAGGAATACCTCCTAAATAGTGTAGCTTAAACCCCTTAAAACTGAGAGGTATTTTCCAGGAAGACTTTTTTAAGGTGCAAGAGGATACAGTAGTTTGTAAATATAGCCTGTTGAAAGATAGATCCTCAGAAATCCCCTAGATTTTAATTAAAGGTACCAGACAGACTTAAAATTCCAGTTGCAACAGCTGTCATCTCCAGATAGTATTCTGTGTTAAAGCAGAAGCAATCTTGTTTTGACTGCTTATTTAATCCATAAATGGTGCCTCTAAGAGGCACACTTTTGTAGAACAGCTGTTTAAGGAGTAACATTAGATGTCTCATCCTTTCTGACATTCATGCTTACACTATACCACTGCCAGGTAACAGAGAAATGTTTGCACTGAAATCAACATCAACAGGATGAGGTTCTTTCCATTTCTGAAATTCTGCTGGAGTATTTTTTAATATTACTAAGTCCCACAAATCACTGTCACTTTGCAGCTCTCCCATGCTACCTCTGACGTACAGATGAAACAATTTCTAAAATCTACTCAACTGTCAATAAGTAAAATATTTCAGCTGGGTTACCTCTCTTTTGCAGCATCACTAAAGAGTGATTAAAGTAGTAGTCTTAAGAATTTACATATGTAACAATATTTAAATTAGTTTCCAAAAGTCAATTCTTAAAACTATTATTAAACAAGCTGAATTATTATGGTTGGAATCTATAATCTTAAAGGTCTTTTCCATCCTAAATGGTTCTACGATTCTATTTTAATACCAGCATGATAAGAATACTAAAAGAAAGTGTTTCTCTAAACAAGTTAAACCATCACAATGTGAATTGTTGGAAACAAAAACTCCCTAAAAATTAACTGAAACACATTTAAAAGATTTTGTCTGTTTGTCTGACCCTTGGGGACTTCATATGATCCTTTATCACATGGTTTCTTCAGTCTCCTTTTTCCCCTCAGATTGCTTTAAATAGTCTCCCACCTCCTGACCACCTAAAAACTTCACTTTCCAAATACATTACATCCCTGGTTTTTTACATTGCCTCCTGTCTGATTTTTTTCATCAGAGAAGGTATTGGGATCAAAACAGAATAGCCAAAACCAGGCATCTTTTTGTTTGTTTTCAGAAGGAGGCTTGAAAAGTATTTCACAGCAATGAAGTTTCATTTCAGTTTTTCAGTCTTGTTTTTTGCAACAGAGGTTGGCCATTGTTACACAGAAGAAGTTTATCTACATTTATTACAAAATGTTCCCTTTTGTTGTTTTGGTTTGGTTTTCTTTCATGTTAGGTCTACTGAGCTTCCTGCAACAACAGGGGTCACAGAAATGGACACTTTCACAGCCTCTGAGAGCAACAGTTCCACCTGCGACCTCTATGAACACAAAGATACAGCACGGATACTGCTGTCCGTCTTCTACAGCTCCATCTTAATTCTTGGGGTGCTTGGAAACACCATTGCCCTCACTGTCATTTTTAAAAACAGAAAGAAGATCAACTCCACTACTCTGTATTCAACAAACCTCGTCTTCTCTGATCTCCTGTTCTGCATTGCCTTGCCAACAAGGATAGCCTACTATGCCCTGGGATTCCACTGGCCATTCGGAGAAGCATTGTGTCGAATAACCGCCCTCTTGTTCTACATAAACACCTATGCAGGTGTAAACTTCATGACATGTTTGAGCATTGACAGGTTTTTTGCTGTTGTCCATCCCTTCCGATACAAGATCAGAAGGATTAAATACGCCAAGGGCATTTGTGTCTTTATCTGGTTTCTTGTATTTAGTCAAACTTTCCCATTACTTATACAATCCATGTCACAGGAAGAAAAAGAAAGGACTACGTGTATGGAATATCCAAACTTTGAAAAAATAGAACATCTACCATTTATACTTCTTGCTGCCTGTTTAATAGGGTACCTTATTCCCCTGGGGATTATACTATTTTGTTACTCTCAAATTAGCTGCAAACTTTTTCAAACGGCCAAGGAAAATCCACTTACTGAAAAATCAGGGATAAACAAAAAAGCCATCAATACAATCATATTTGTAATTATAGTGTTCATCATCTGCTTTACCCCTTATCATGTTGCAATTATACAACACATGATTAAGAAACTTCAGAATGAACCCTTGTGCACCGAAAAGAAAATTTTCCAGAAGTCACTCCATTATACTGTATTTCTGATGAATTTTAACTGCTGCCTAGATCCTTTCATCTATTTCTTTGCATGCAAAGGATACAAGAGAACTGTACTGAAAATACTGAGACGACAAGTGAGTGTATCAATTTCAAGTGCTGCCAGGTCACATCATGAAGAAAGCTCACGTGATGTGGGAGAAACGCAAATGACGGTACTTGCTAAATCTTCCAATGGAAAGCTACCTGAAAAATAAAGTCTGCAGTACATCACAGTGGAGAAAGATTAAAAATCCAGGGTCCACAGCAAAAACTCTTAGTGTTCCCCAAACAGAAGCTTAAGGAAAATTCTGTTTCTCAGGATGTCAGGAAATAAAGGAGTGATGTTGGACTGAAAAAGAATTGTCACAGGACAGTAGGAAAACCAGCATTATAATCTCCTTGCTGTGTATCCTTTTGACTGATCTTTTCTTTTTTTTCAGGAAATACGCACCATTGTGAATGTTCAAATTCCATGCTGCACATACATATGCCTGGATGTTAAGCAAAGACTTGATTCACAATTTGAATTAAACACAAATAGCTTATAGTTCAGACCAACTACAACAAGAACATCTGAAAATTTCAAGACCTCTAGCTGAGCTCCAATTATAGCAATGGTTACATTAATCCAGTCACACAAGCAAGGGAAATCAAATTTTCTGATGAAATGGACAACTGTGCACGATGGATATCACAAATGCTTAAGTTTATAGCTCTTTGGAGGTGAAACTGCATTTTATAGTATTTAGAACACGAATGTGTTATTGGACAATTTATGTTTATTGTCAAATATAACACATGGAAAGCTAATGAACTGTTTGGTTCTCCTCGACACTGAACATCTCCTGTATGTTAAATCACTCATCTTCACAAGGTGTATTATGTCTTTACTCCTTTTCCTAAAGGAGAACTTTTCTTCCTAGTATGTATTGTAAAGAGTCTCTACTCCATTGTATATAAATTATTTATAAACACAAATTGAAGCAAGAGACTGTAATACGAAAACTGTACCACTTCAGTTAAAAGAACAGTGATACAGAGTTCTCACAACTTCTGCTCAAGTCAGACACGGACACAAGACAAACGTTTTGGAGACCTGAATAAATGTTCACTGTTGGGGCCAGCAAATAGTAAATTAATGAGTTAAGTCTGATGGTGTGAGATGGCTACCTCTCTTTAAGTGCTGTTTACCTGAGAGATCAACAAACGAGAAGAACAGGATTTGCTGGGAAAGAATAAGTTTTCTCATCATACCTTCATAGAGCATATCTCAGATCCATTTGGGCACACTGAAATTGGGCCAGGAAAGAGACCAAATGACTTAAACACATCCTGCTGGATTCAGCTCAATACCAGTTGAGAATGCAGGATGCAAGCCCCGGGTTCCTGCTGTCATGCCCTTCCGTCACATGGCAGTTTCCTTCCCTACTTTATTTCTGGCCCCTCTATCTTTTCTTTAGTGTTCTATCTTATTAATATGCCTTCACCTGCCAACACAACTTGGTAACTGCACCAGGAGGTTGTGGTGGAAAAGGAAAATTAAAGACTGCCTGACAATTATAAATAAAAGCTATGCCACGTGTCAGAATAAATGTTATTTATTGCAGCTGTATCTGTCTGGCATTGAGGTTGAGTCAAACAAACATAGTTACATTTGTCATCTTTGCAATTCCTTCCTTCCTCGTGTGTTGACCTTCCATGTTGACTTGCAAACATGGAAGGGTCATATCTGAACATCAGTAAGGAAACATTTTATGAACAATTATTTTCTTATGGCAAAGAAAACATAACCCCCCCAATATTTCATACCACTTAGACTGCCAAAATTGAGCTTCTAATTACAAGAGACACTATGCAGTTTCAAGAAAATGGAGTAAGAAAAATAATTTTCGACAGAAGTTCTCCTTAATTCTGTGTGCTATAAGCAGTTCTCTTCTTGTCAACTTTTTAAATAAACTATTTTAAAATATTATTTAAGAATTTGTTCCTATTGGAGTAAGCAAATGATAACCTAATAAAACCACAGACAGACCTCTCAGGAATACCTAGAAACTGTAGAAATAAAATATATGTATTATTAACATTACACCAGTACGAGCTCATTTTTTTTGTACTAATGTCTGGGGTTTTTTGTTTATTAGTATGCATTTCATCTAACTGTGATCATAAAGCCTTAAAGACAAGAAGGTTTTTTTTATATTTGTCTGTAAAATATAACAAATATGTATTAAAACACCACATACTGCAGATAACTACACTCTAAGTGGAAAAAAAGTGAAGAACTGTATTGAAAATCCTTCTCTATCTCCATTTTCTCACAGAAGCAATTCTGTTATTTTCAATTTTAGAGTTTGTTTCTAAATTACAGCAACATTCTCAAACAGGGAACAACATCAAAATACTGCTTTTGCTCTAATAAACCTTGAAGCCTGGGTCTAGTTAGATATGGGTTTGAGAAAAGCTATTTTTTTCTCCTTATTTTAATACTTCTTAAATGTAGAAGAAACCAATAAAATAAAAACCTTCTAAAACTAAGATAAACTCAGTTTCCTGACAAAAGTCCTAAAGGCACAGAGACACAGACAGACAACTGTGGCAGCTGATGCCTCTGCTAATGACTCTGCTTCCCCTCACTACTTGTCAGCACACACTGACAGCTCACACACACTCGTATTGATGAGGAGACTTTTTTCTGTGTGCTTGTCTGAATCTGCCAAAAGTAGCAGTGGGGGTTTCAGTGGGTCTGGGACACTGCGCTGAAGTCAAACATTTAGAGAGTATGTGTCCTGTTTCTTCTTCCAGCTGTGTTGTGGGGCTGGCAGACATCACCAGAGAGTTGGCAACAACCTGCTGCATGGGACCAAGGGAGAACAGTAATACTGAAAACTTACTGCTGTTCTCAAACAAATGGTTTCCTTCATATTGTCCTTATCCATTTATCCTGTCAGTGCTCTTCCCTCAGTACTGTTTGTTGGAGTATTTTCATGATAGCAGTTACCCACAGGGACACATCCTCAGGACTCTCCTGTTTGCCGACATGAATAAAGGGGGAAAAGCCATACCTGGTATCTCTTTCCTTCTCCAACACTGAGTATACAACAGATGTGTTGTCTTAAAAGACGTGAGTGTGCCATGCCATACAACATGTGGCTGAAGCAGTATGAGCTTTGCAAGAGAAAATGAGCTTTTGCTTTGGGAAAAGCTTCTGATACATTCTAAGACGTGCCCCCTTCCATGTGAAAGGCTGGCAAATGGTCACAGAGATCAGAGATCTGGGGCTCACTCACACTTCTCACATAGAAATAAAGCAGTGGCAAGTAGCAGTAGGTTCAAATGGCTTGCTTACTGTAAGGATCCGACTGAAGTTTTTTGGAGAAACTGGGTCTCTAGAGAATGAAGTCCAGTCAGGATCTTGAAGCCCATGTTCATGATAAAATGACAGAGTATCTTTTATCTCTACACTTCGGACTGTTGACCTAGGGACTCCAATTACATGGAGTCCTATTGCTGACAATATGTGTTCACTGCTGGCACCTCTGTCAAATCTTGTCTGGTAGGGAATGTGGCAGAGTACATAGAAATAAAAATGATGATGATGGCAAAATGGTCCAAATCCCTAAAAGAAAGTTGGATAGACACCTGTTGTCAAACACATGACCAAGAGAAGGTGCATCATATGAAAAATCCCAAAACACACATTTTCAGCAGGAGAACATCTAGTGCCTTCATCTTTTCTTTCACTGAGAACACAAAATTAGGGAATAATACTGCAAGTACCTCAGTTGCCTTGGGCTTGAAGATATTGAAGGTTGACTGAAAGCATGGAGACAAAGAATGCAATCTCCTATGGCTTACAGACTCAGCAGAAGAGGACAGGTATTCCCAAAGGCATTGTTGCCTGATTCTTTTGCTTGTGGTCCTGAAAACTGTGTAGACAAGGAACCTGTCAGCAACATGGTCATCTCCTAGCAAAAGACAGTAAGAGCAACTGTCTGAAGTGGTAAACATGCTAACACAAATAACACAATTCCTGGAGATAGTTAATGACTCCTCTTAAATCAGCAAGCTCAATAGTAAAAAAAAAAAAAAAAAAAAAAAAAAAGGGAACGTTTTGGGTTCTTTTAAATAGATGTTCCATTTAATACTAGTATAGTTCTGAAACTCAAAAACTTTTAGGGAAGCAAGGAATGAACAGACCTCTAGAAAGTGATGAGACAGCCTGTAACATGAGAAAAGTAAATAGTGTACAACTGAAGAGAAAGAGAAGAAAAGCTTTGCCTTATATGACCAGTTTTGAAGGAACTAAAAAGCAGCGTCATACTCTGTCTCTTTTACCTCCAGGTCTCTGGTACAGAGCACAGGAGCAACTGAAGACAAACTGAGGTTTGTATTCAGCAGTATCTCACTGTGCTGTCTCAAAACAGACAAGGTCAATAGACATCAAGAATCACTTGAAAAACAAGTCATTCATCTGAGTGCAATATTTCCTAATACAATCTTGCCTAAGCTGCAGCCTGCAGACTAAGGGTATAGTACAAAATAAATACAAAACCCTCTGCCAAGTTGCAACCCTTTTCTGAAATAAAACAGGAATTACTGTTTGTGTAGTAAAAGCTCTGACATATTTCCTCAAATTTTTTTCCCCTCAGAATACTCCCTTGGCTTCCTGCAATGTTTAACTTCTGACTTCCTGAGGCTGATGTCTCATCTTTGCACATGACAGTCGTCAATCAATTTTTTCTTCCCTCAACCTGTATGCTCCCTTTTTGAACGTCTGTGACTGCAGCATTTTACAGCACAAAGCTCCACAGAATAACTATCCATGGTGACTGGAGGAGACATTTTCATTCACTTGTGACACCTGTTAGTTTCATTTGAAGTCCCCTGCTCCTTGCACCAGAAATGAGTGAACACAGCAACTCCTTATCTACCCTGTTCACATTACTCGTGATTTTACAGACCTGCATCAAATCCCCTTCCTTTGAGTCATCTTGTCTCTTCTCCTGTGAACAGTCAGATAAAACTGTTCAGCACTTCATTCCAATTAGAAAGGAAGGAAAGAAGGCAAATGTAAATAAAGTATGGGAATCCAACTGTGTTCGAGCTGGGTAGCAGAAGAGAACAGGGTGTCTCTACATACAGGGAGATCAACAGCATATGGATCTACTTTTCCTACCACATTCAGTAGCATATAGGTTCTCTAAATTAGGATCTTGCCCCATGACTGCCAAATTTGGATAATCTTGCTCTGACACATTAAATAAGGAAGAACAGGACCTCAGTGGGCTGGAAAAATGGATTCACAGGAACATCATGAAGTTCAGCAAGTCAAATACAAAACCCTGCATTCAAATTAGAATAATCCCAGTGCAGGTTGGGCATGACCTGGTTAGAAAGCAGATTGGTAAAAAAGATCTGGGACAAGTTAAAAAGGAGTCAATAGTGTGACCTCACAGCCAAACATATATGAGACCGTGTTCAAAAGAACATCCAGAGAAGCAATCTTTCCCCTCTGTTCAGTACTTGTGAGATCATACCTGGAATTCTATACTGGGTTTGGGCTTCCCAGTACAAGAAAGATGCTGATACACTGGAACAAGTCCAGCAGACAGTTACCAAAAACGCTGAAGGGGCTTGCAGCATGTGAAACAGGAGGAGGGGCTGAGGGAGAG